CTATCTATCGAAATCTCTCCAAGATCATGTTCATTGCCTCCATGACACTGTCTATCCATCTATCCTTTGCCGCCTCCTTTTCCTTTTGCCTTCAATCCTTCCCAGCATCAGAGTCTTTTCCAATGAATCCTGTCTTCTTATGCAGCCAAAGTGTTTAAGCTTCAGCTTCAGTATTTGACCTTCCAGTGAATAGCCTGAATTAATTTAAGTATTGATTGATTTGACCTCCTTGTTGTCCAAGGGACCCTCAAAAGTCTTGTCCAGTTTCTTGGGGCAACTAGGTGGCGCAGTGGATGGAGCATTGGCCTTGAAGTCAGGAGGACCTGAGTTCAAATCCGGACTCAGACCGAACACTTGACACTTACTAGCTGTGTGACCCTGGGCAAGTTACTTAACCCCAATTGCCTAAAAAAATAAATAAAAATTAAAAAAAGTCTTGTCCAGCTCCACAACCCTCATGAAAAGTTCATCCATCACTTCACTTGAAGACCTCCACTGACGGTGGACATACCATCTCTGAAGGCACTGGATTCCTCTTTTAGATAGCTCTAATTGTTTTCTTATGATAAATTATACCTCTCACTTCTTCCTGGTGTTCCTAGTTCTGCCTTTGGGGCCAAGCAGAACAAGCCTAGCTCCTCTTTCACCTGAGACCCCATCAAAAACTTTATGCCTTCTATCATGCCCCCCAATCCCCAAATCTTCTCTAAATGAAAAATCCTCATTAGATTGCAAATTCCTTGAGGGCAGAATGTCTTTTGCTTCTTTTTGTATCCCTACCACTTAGCACAGCACACAATAGATGCTTAATAAATGTTTATTGATATTAATAGTCTTCCAATTATGTGGCACGAATAATCCCTTTGCTATTCTTATTGCTCTCCTCTGGATACTCTCAAGTTTATTCATGTCATTAAAATGTGGCATCTAAAGTTAAATATATTACCATGGATGTGGTCTGACTCGGGCAGATTACTGTGGGCCTATCAACTCCTTCATTCCAGCTCTCTTAATGCAGCCTAAGATTGCATTAGATTTGAGGGCTACCATATCACAGTGTTGTCTCATGTTGAGCTTGAACCCTAGGGGGTTGCCAAATATTTGGAGCTAGAAATACTAATGAGTAGTTCTTTTTTTTTAATAAAATTTTTATTAGTGTCTTTTTTTAATATCACCAAACTTTCCCCCAGTATCCCTCCTCTTTCCTCTCCCAGAGGGCCATCCCATATGACATATATATTTATTCATTTTATTTTTTCTAATTACATGTAAAATTTCTTTAGCATTCATCTTTTAAATTGTTGAGTTCCAAATTCATCCTCTTCCTCTTTTCCCCCCTCATTAAGAAGGCAAGCAATGTGATATGGATTAGACATGTTCAGTCATGTGTATTCCATATTAGCCATATTGTAATAGAAAAAAAAACCAGACAAAAAAAAGCAAGAAAAGTAAAAAAAAAAAGTATGCTATGATTTGCATTCAGACTCCATCAATTCTTTCTCTGGAGGTGGATAGCATTTTTCATCATGAGTACTTCAGAATTATCTTAGATCATTGTAATACTGAAAATAACTAAGTCTTTCACAATTGATCATCCTTACAATACTGCTGCTACTGCTATGTTCTCCTGGTTCTGCCTACTACCCTTTGCATCAGTCCATACAAGTCTTCTGAAAGCATACTGCTCATCATTTCTTACAGCACAATAGCATTCCATCACAATTATATACCACAACTTGTTCAAATGATAGGCATCCCCTCAATTTCCAGTTCTTTGCCACCACAAAAGTGCTGCTGTAAATATTTTTGTATATACAGGTCCTTTTCCCTTTAAAAAAAAAAAAGAGCTGCTGCTGCTGCAACTATTACTGCTGCTATTACTGTTGCTGCTGCAGCTGCTACTGTTGCTGCTGCTACAACTACTACTGCTGCTATTACTGTTGCTGCTGCTGCAACTACTACTGCTGCTGTTACTGTTGCTGCTGCTGCTACTCTTTATCTCTTCTGGATACAGACCTAGTAATGATATTGCTGGGTCAGTTTAATAGCCTTTTGAGAATAGTTCCAAACTGCTCTCCAGGATGGTTGGATCAGTTCACAACTCCACCAATAGTGCATTAGTGTCCCATTTTGCCACATTCCCTCCAACATTTGTAATTTTCCATTTCTGTCATATTGGCAATCTGATAGGTATGAGGTGGTCTGAGGAAGGGTGGCCTTGGGTGGAATTTTTTTTGATGTTTTCAAGGCAAAAAAATAAAATGGAAAAAAAATCAGTAAACTTGATCAAAACATTAAAAAAGAAGTCTAAAAATACCTGCAATATAACATACTTATAGATCACCCACTTCTGCCAAGGGATGAAATAATGACTTTTTCTCATACTTCTTTCTTCAAGCCATGACAGCTCCAAGAACCACCAGTTTATTCCACCAGGTCCAAAGATGACTTGATCCAACCCCTTTTCTTACCTGCTCCTGCTATAATGGGAGGGGGGAAAGAGAACATGATTGAGCAAGGTTAGAAGTGGGAAGAGAGGCCCCTCTGGAGGTGAGACAAGTCCAAGTGCCTTGCATCCCTTTACCAAGACAGAAAATCTAGAGCTCAGAATCACTTAGGCAGGCATCTGGACATTCCAGCAGCACCATTTTAGCCTTGTTAGTTAGTTTACTAACCCATGAACATGGAGGACACATCTTTGCCCTTGAGATAGGGTTGCTCCTCTTTTTTTTTTCTTTTGTCACAGGCAAACGGTACTGAGAGCAGTGAATCTGCCCCATCTCCTCCTGCCTTTGGAGCTCTTTCGAGATGGAACCTGGGGTGATTTTCACAGCTGCTTTGGAGGAAGAAGAATGAAAGAAAGTCAGAGAAAAGGAGAGCCACTTTGAACTCTAAGATTCAGTGAGAGGTGTGGATGTGAGTAGGAAGATTACTAGGAACTAGGGGAGGGAGGTAGCCAACAGGAGTAGCCACTGCCAAGACAGAGTAGAAAGCAGACTTATCTGTACAGTCCGGTAAAGGACCATACCATCAAAGATACCCAGGTGATGGGAGAGATGGGGAGGTGGGGAAAACAGGTGGCATATAGAACAGCTTTACAAAGTGTGTTAGCATTCTAATCTGGGGTCATGAAAGATGGAATATAGTCTATGTATAGTTTCTTTGATTTCTGTTTTGCTATTAAATTGGATAAATGGGTTTCTTTTATAATTGCCATGTGTATGTTCATTGCGAAGCCAGTATTTGGTGAAAAAAATGGTCAAGCCTTAGATGTAAAGCTTGAGTTTCCCCCCTCCCCCAATTAATGAAATAGTAATCAGGAATTAGATTGAACCTGAAAATCACATCCCCTTGACTAACAATATTTAAGGCAGCAGATAAGTATAGCTCTAACCTAGTACCCCTTCTCTCTGAGAAAAGCAGGGTGACCATCCCTTCGTGGCCCAACTGCCTGCTTTCCTTCCTGGCAGGAATTAAATCCCGCCTTGGAAGAGTGGAGGGCAGGGTGGGAAGAAGAGGCTAGAGAAGTCTATTCTGCTTCCCTTTGAGCCATACGATGACATTCCCATGCTATCTGCGGGGGCTGGCCTCTCACTACACAGAAAGGTAGCTACTGGATTTTTTTCTTTTTTAGTATGTTAGTGAGTCCCTTCTTTATCCTTTGAACTTTGTTTTGATCATTGTAAGTCTTAGTGTTTTTAAGGGTTGTTGTTCAGTCATGTCCAACTCTTTGTGACCCCATTGGGGGTTTTCCTGGCAAAGATCATGGAGTGGTTTGCCATTTCCTTGTCCAGTTCATTGTACAGATGAGGAAACTGAGGCAAACAGGGCTAAGTGACTTGCCCAGGTTCACACAGCTAATAATTGTGTGAAACCACATTTGAACTTGGATCTTCCTGACATCAGGCCCAGCATTCTATCCACTGTGCCAGACAGTCATGTGCTTTTAAGGGAAGCTAGTGGTTCACTTTGGGGAAATGCCATATACTGAAACTTCTAGGTTATAGCTGGGTGGGGACAATAAACTAGAAAATGAGATGTCTCCAAAGTGAAGGAATCTTAGCCAGAAAGATTAAATAAACCTTGCATTTACTTTGTGTGATCATCCTTTCTACTTAATTCTCTAATAAAGTCTTATTTTATCCTCACCTTTCTTGTTTGGTTTAGGAGAAGGGAAGAACTGGGGGAAAGCTGGGTACCATGAGAGCCTAGGAGGGATTTGTGGCAGCTATAATAGTAAGAGATTATTTTTTCCTTTATATTAATAACTAATTATTAAATTAAGATTAAGGTTCCCCTTTACTATTTCCTCATTCAGAAACCAACCCCTGTAGGTTATTCAGCCAGTCTCTGAAGGTCATGGCTGATGGATGATATTACCTTACCCTACCATCATTGTTCATTGTTCATTGACTGGGGAAAGATGGATGCCTTTGTCCACTCAGCAGCTGAGTCTGCAGCAGGAGGAGCTGAAGGCTTTCAGCCCACCTCCTTATTGATTGTTAACCAATCAGAGTTGATTTCCACTCTCAGATACATCCCCTTTTCCAAAGGCTTTTTAAGCATTCAGTGTTCTTAAGGTTCGTCTTAGGTTTCTGAGAGTACCGCTGACCTCATTTTGTTAATTATTTGCTAGCCATAATTAATAAATGGATTATTAATTACCCAGAAACTAGGAACTTTGGACTTTTCATTCATCACAATACAGAAGCTGCCACCCCAGGGAATCTGGGGCTTGAGCTTATTTGAGAGTAAGGAAACCCCCAAAGAGAAGGGTTTGGGGAGTCTGATGGTGATTCCTGGTTGGGCTTATGGTTCTCTTGATTGCCTTTACCTAAGAAAGTGTTAATAATGAAGATTAAACTTAAAGTGTGTGTTTACATTTTACCCCACAGTCATTTAAAAACATACCTCAGCGGGGCAGCTAGGTGGCGTAGTAGATAGAGTACCGGCCCTGGATTCTGGACGATCTGAGTTCAAATCCGATCTCAGACACATAATACTAGCTGTTGACCCTCGGCGAGTCACTTAACGCCATTGCCTAGCCAAAAAAATCCAAAATATTTATTAGCACACTCCTGAGGATAAGACACACATTTTAGGACATGACTAATGCAAGAATTTGTTTTGCTAGGTTGCATATATTTGTTACAAGGGTATGTTTGTTTGGTGGAAAGAGAGAAAATCAAATTTTTTAGGGAAAAAAGTTTAATTAAAAAAACCCAACAGCCTTATGAAGTAGTTGTTATAAATATTCCCATTTTAGGAAACTGAGACTGAGAGAGGTTCAATAATTTGCCTATGGTCGTTGTTTGTCCTTAGTGCTGGAAGAGACCCAAAATAACATCATGATGTAAATGTCAGCAGGATTTGAACTAAGGTCTTCTTTTCGCCATGTCAACTAATCTAGCCATTATTTCACCTTGCTAACTCTTGGAGGTTGGAGTCTGTTTTTTTTTTTAAACTTCAGGTCCAGCAATCTTCCCACTATTCAGTGTCTAATGCTAGGTCCTGACATTTTGGAATTAGTCACTACATCTATATTTCAGCCCCAGGTAATAACAATAACAATAATAATAACTAATAAGTAGCTAGCATTTATATATTACCTACTATGTTCCAGTCACTATGCTAAGTGCTTTACAAATATGCCCTCATTCGATCCTCATAACAATTCTGTGAGGTAGATGCTATTATTATCCCCATTTTACATTTAAGAAAACTGAGGCAAGCAGAGGTTAAGTGGCTTTCCCAACATCCCACAGCTAGTAAGAGTCTGAGGCTGAATTTGAACTCAGGTCTTGCTGACCCTAGACCCAGAACCCTATCTACTGCACTACCTAGCTGCCCAGGTCTAGTTTATAAGATCAACAGGACTATACATTTAAATCACAAGGCTTTAACCTTTTTGGCTTTATGGATCCCTTTGGCAGTCTCTTGAAGCCTATGGACCCCTTCTCAGAATAATGTTTTTAAATGTATAAAGTAAAATATATAGGGTTACAAAGGAACCCAATTATATTGAAATAAAGATGCATTTTTTTGCCCATCTAAGTTCATAGATCCCTCAAAGCTATCTACAGGCTCCTTAGGACAGACCTTTAGGAAGTCATCCAATCTAATCCACTCATTTTACAGACACTTACTAGCTGTGTGACTATGGGCAAGTCACTTAACCCTGTTTGCCTCACTTTCCTCATCTGTAAAATGAGCTGGAGAAGGAAATGGCAAACCATTCCAATATCTTTGCCAAGAAAACCCCCAATGGGGTCATGAAGATTTAGACACAACTGAAATGACTGAACAAACCGGGCAGCTAGGTGGCACAGTAGATAGAGCACTGTGGATTCGGGAGGACCTGAGTTCAAATGTGACCTCAGACATATAATATTTACTAGCTGTGTGACCCTGGGCAAGTCACTTAACCCCAGTGCCTAACCAAAAAAAATATAAAATAAAAATAAATGACTGAACAAACATCAGTGAAGGAGCTTTCCCGTTGGGATTGAGGTAACTCAACTCAACCTAGATTGAAGGGTTTCCTGAAGTTTCTAGAGTAGCAAGCTGGGTTAGGGGCGTGAGGGAGACTGACAGTTTCTCTCATATCATCTTCTTTCCAGAGTCTTTTCCTTCCACAACCTGCAATAGGCTTAGTATTGTCCATCTTCTATCCCAAAGCTGGAAGCCAGAAGTGCCCAAAGTGATTGTGGAGTTAGAAGAGAGTCGACCTCAAGTTCGGCCCTTTTGACGGAATCCAACCGGATTCCTCAAAAGGCCACACTTGAGGACCTAGAAGGCCACGGTAGCTTCAAGGCCACAGATTCCCCACCCCTGTGACCTAGGCTACTTCCATCACCTTCCATTAAACAGTCAAAATACTTAAGCTCTTACATTAAAATCAATGCAGGTACTTCTTGCTAACTATGTGGTGGGAGAAGTGTACATCATTACATTGCTAAGTCCAAATCTAATTCTTTATCTCCTTTGCCTCCCCAGGGATTTCGGATTTTCAGTCAAACTGGTCCTTCATTCCTTCACTGCCCCACCTCCCTAGCCCAGGCCAGTTTGATAATTCTATTCTACTGGAACCTGAGGAAGAAAGCCCCCACTTGCCATATGCTAGGCATTAATGCTAAATGCTAGGAATACAAATACAAGCAGAAAGAAACATAGTCCCTGCCCTCAAGGTGTTTACATTCTAATAGGGGAATACATAAACAGAAGCCAAAAATCTGGGGGTTGGGGGGGAGGGGGAGGAGCAAAGGTACCCAAGGGGGTATGGTAGAGGAGGTCAGGAGTATACCCTTGCGAGGAATGAGGCTGGGCTGGTCTAGGCACTGTCTTTAACTGAGGGCTCTGGGAGGGTTCATCTTATTGGAGGATGGGACTGAAGGGGTTAGGATACTTTCAATGTGTGAATTCCAGGGCTGGAGTGAACTGGATGGAGATCTGGGTCATAGAATACAGAGGAATATGGCACACACTGCAAGAACTAGAGATCCCAGGCCAGATGTGAGCTGGTATAGGACTTCATTCATTCAACAAATATTTATTCAATCCTCTGTGCAGAACACTGTGCCAGGTGACAAAGGAGAAACAAAGCTTAGAAAAGACACATGCCTCTGTGCTGTTTATAATTTCAGACAAGAGATAATATTTGTGCACAGACATGGAAAGGCGGAGTACTATTTAACGAAGAGCAGAGATGGCAAACACGGATCAGGCAGTAACACTCCAGAGTGTTTGAGGCTGAACCAATTAAAATGTAATGAAAAACATTTAACAAAATAAAAATACAGCAAAGCACAGATAATGTTAATATGTGGTTTTCTAAGTCAATATGAGGCCTATAGAGTTTGACACCACTGATGTAGTGGATAGAGATCTGACCTATCCAAGAAGCCAAGAAGACCTAGGCACGTCACTAAGCAATTCTCTAAGAGTTTAATTTTCAGAGAAGGTGCTGACCTCCATTAGAAAATATATTTCAAGGCAGCTAGGTGGCACAGTGGATAGAGCACTGGCTCTGGAGTCAGGAGGACCTAAGTTCAAATCTGACCTCAGATACTTGCTAGCTGTGTGACCGTGGGCAAGTCACTTAACCCCAATATTTATGTTTCCTTACCTGGGAACTCCCAATAGGGATGAAATCACAGCCCCTACTCCCTATACTTATAATATAGTATTAATTAGAATATAAGTACATAAGAAGACTACAAAGTAGTAAGAGCTCATGAGAGAGTTCATTTCCAATTAGGGGGAGTCACAGAAGGCTCCTGAGAATGAGGAGCCCAGAATGAGTTAAGATGATCATGGAAAGCTTCCTGGAGGGAAAGGAAGAATAAGCTTTTATTGAGCACTTACTCTGTACCAAGTATACTTTACAAGTATTAGCTCATTTGATCCTCACAGTGAGGTCGTGTGCTATCATCATCCCTATTTCACAACTGAAGGAACTCAGATAGACAGAGGTTAAGTGACTTGCCCAGGGTCACACAGCTAGTAAGTGTCTAAGGCCAAATTTGAACTCAAGTCTTCCTGACTCCAGGCCTGGAGCTCTATTGACTGGACCACCTACCTGCCTCAGCTGAAAGAGGTAAAAATTGATGGGGCCTTGAAGGATGGAATAGGATATGGAAGGGGAGGATGCTGTACAAAAGGTACAAAAGGATGTGTGTTCAGGTTAGTTGTTGAAACAACCCGGGCTCCAGGAGTTGTAGAGCTGACCCAGAGCTTTCGAAATGGCTGCTAGGAGAGATTCGTGGGTGAATAGTGTACAAATAGATCACGTGTACAGTGCCTTTGCCGCTCTGGGCATCCAGGCTCCACTAGATTGAGGCTACCGGGCTCCAGAACTGATTTCCTAGGGCATCTGCATGAGCTCACAGCCTATGGAATTCAGTTCTCAGAGCCAAATGCCAGGTGTGGGCACAAGCAGGGACATCACATCTGGGCACTAAACACTGGTTAAAAAAAAAGGATGAGGATAGACACAAGCAGGAACAGGTGACACTAATCTTGGGTACTGTGCGTTGTGACAGGGATGTGCTTCCAGGCTGTCTGAAAAGATTGTTGTAACCAAGACATACTTTTAAGTTTAATCTGAACTATGAACATTTTCTTAAGTTTAGACAATCAACAAAAATACTAAAATCAAGCACTGGTTGGTATCCTTTGTGGATTTCTGTAGTGTGAATGTTCACACTGAAAAATTTTGAGCCTAGAGGCATTGGCTCCATCTAGCGTGCCCCTGGGTGTGGGTCTCAGTCCCAGGACAGGTGTGACAGGTCAGAGTCCAGTTCCAGCTTTCCCAGAGACTTGGCTGAACCTGCCACCCCACTCTAACCTTCCACCCCTAGATAAAATCCCTTCAGAGGGAGTCTAGAATGCAGTACCCTTAGGCCTGTGAGGGTGACCTCATAAGGTCATTGCTTCCATTCCTCTGCCTCCAAGCAAGACTGCTCTGAAAAAGTTCTGATTAATTTTTTTATTTTGTAGGGGGATAGTGAGGAGAAGGAGAGGATCTTTATTTGTAAAACAGGAGATTTTACAGACTAATAATAGCTTGTTTCCCTGTCTAGTAGTCAGCAGCGTTTTTGGAGGTTGAACCACTTTCTGTTTTATACCCTTTTGGTTGCTTTACCCCTCTACTCTGGAAAAGCAGAGCGTTTTTACCTGTTCACTAGTCTCTGGCCTGGATGAACTAATTTCCCTCTCCAGAGAAGATATGAGGGTATGACCTATGGTGGAAGTAGGAATATGAAACCCAGAGGGTCCCTGGCTCTGTTCCCATCCCCACTTTCCATGCTTCCCTTGATCTGCGTCTAACATCTTAGGGTTCACTCCCTCTCCTCTTAGGAGAATCTTCATTTTAGTTTAAGTGCTCTAGCTAGGGGTTTGTTTTAGACTAGGAGCTTTTAATATCTATCTATCTATGTATCTATTCATATACGTATATATATGGATTATACATGTGTATATATTATACATATGTATATATATTATATATACATATATTATATATACCTACATACATACGTGTGTGTATACATACATACATACATATATATATATATATTTGTATCATGGACCTCTCTGTAGTCTGGAGAAACCTATGGACCCCTTCTCCCATTTCTATATATTTATTTATTTTTTAGCTCTCAACATTCACTTCCACAAGATTTTGAGTTCCAAATTTTCTCCCTATTTCTCCTGTCCCCACAACCCCATGACAGTCTACATTCTGATTATTTCTTCTTCCAATCTGCCCTCCCTTCTATCAACCCCTTCCCCCTCTTCTCTTATTCCCTTCCCCTCCTACTTTCTTGTAGGGTAAGATAGAATACTATACCCCATTGCCTGTGTATCTTTGGACCCCTTCTCAGAATAATGTTTTTAAATGCATAAAATAAAACTTTAAAAATTGCAAAGAAAACCACTTCTATTGAAATACAGTTATTAAAATATCCTTAAAAACAACCAAATTCATGGACCCCAGGTTAAAAACCTTCTCTCCAGATACTGAGCAGCTGGTGGCACTAAGGAAAGAAGCCTGTAAAGGGAAAGAAATGACCTCCCTCCTGCCCCCAGAAAGATAGAGATAATGGAGTCTACCTCTGAAGTACCATGGAGAGAGCAGGGGTCTTAGGGCCAGTGGAGACTGGATGATGGTGGTGATGGTGGTGGGCAGGTCTTGGCCTGGCCGGAGTCCTAGATCACCAGGGGTTGGACCTCTTCCTCCTCTCTGTCTACTTGTAGCCCTAGAAAGGAGAGGAAGTGAGGGAGACAATGGGAGAGGAAAGAAGAAGAGGATGAGAGAGGAGCAGGGGAAGTGTAAGAGGCAACGGTGACTTGGTTCAATTCCCAGTTAGTCGTGTGACTTCCTAGCTTTGTAAACCACTTATTGTCTCTGGGACTCAGTTTCCTTAGCTATAAAAATAATTGATTGGATTAGATGATGTCTAAGGTTCCTTTCACCTCCAGTATTCTATAATTCTATTAAAAGGGATTTCCCAGAAAGATACTTTCACTTTCCAGGGCTATTTCAGGGGACCAGGCAGGGGAAGGCCCTTCATCTGGGCAAGGAGCCAATGTTGCCCAGCAGGAAATGCTGCAGCTCATTCCCTAAGAAGTTGTGGGGGCAGTGGCCTCTTCTCCCACCCCTCGAGCCCCCCGAAAGCTGAATGCAGCAGGGCATGGGGGGATGGACAAAGCATCCTGCTTCTTCCTGTGGTACTCACCCCGGCCTCCCTTGGCTCTCAGACTTCTCTCGGCCAGGCAGTGAGTCTGTCTCACCCAGAGCTTCTTAAATAGGATCCCTTACCCCACCCCCTGCCCGCCCCAGCCTGCTCTTCTGAGAAAGGAGGAAAGTGTGGGAGGCAAGGGCTTTTTGCTTGTAGAACCCTCTCTGACTGCAGACCAGGGCAAGGATACAGATTCCCACTGGGAATTCCCACCCCATCCCCACCTCCCCTCACTTGCTTGGTCACCCCCTTAGCTGGGGCCCCAGTCAGACGTGGTTCTCCTAGGGCTTAGGGTGTGTGTGTGTGTGTGTGTGTGTGTGTGTGTGTGTCTGATGAATTTTTCCAACTTCCCTCAAAGTTCAGGAAGTCTGACCCACATCTTTCTCCCTGTAATTGAAACCTCAGCTTGAGCTGGAGAGCAACTCCCCCCCTTCCCTAAAGAGGAGTCATCATTCCGTTTGGTGGAAAGCATGCTAGAATAGGGAACAAGGGACCTGGGTTTGAGTCCCAGCTCTGCCACTAACTGCAGGACCCTGGGCAAATCATGGCTCCCCTCTCTGGTCCTGTTTCATTAACTGCAAACTGAGATAATAAAAATAACTCACATACAGACAGTTTTTAGGTAGTTCCTTGCAACAGGCCCATGAAAGTACTCCCTATCTCAGAGTGTGATGCTAAGAATCAAATAAAGAAAAAAGGCTGAGAAAGTGACTACAAATTGCATGCATAGGTGAAGAACAACCATTTGGGGGGGGTTAAGTGACTTGTCCAGGGTCACACAGCTAGTAAGTGTTATGTGTCTGAATCCAGATTTGAACTCAGGTCCTCCTGAATCTATGGCTGGTGCTCTATCCACTGCACCACCTAGTTGCCCCAAGAATAACCATTCTTATCGTAAATGGAAGGTCTAGGTTGGTCCTTGGGGTGGGGTGGAGATAAGGACAGGAGCCTGGGGCTGCCCACCATCAACCAATCCCGATGCTCAGCTGGAGGGTGGGAAGGACTGATGTCCTTGAGTCCTTGCAGGAGAGGGTAAGGATGCTCTTATTCCTGTTCTTTGGAGGGAAAAACTGAGGCTGAGAGTGTTTGCAGTGATGGTCTAAGGAAAGAGTGGTTTATTAGCCAAAAAGGACTAGGATTTAGGAGTCTGGGCCGGGATGTCCGGAAGTCTGTCTTCTTGAAGCCCTTGATACTTGGGAGCAGATGGGGCTCCAGGCTCAGAGATCCCTTCTTATATCTGCGAAATCTACTTCCCCATCTGAAAGGAATAGGACAATACCCTGTTCCATCTCCTAACCCAACCAACCGGAAACTTTACCCCCCAGGGCTTGTTCAAAGAGGGTCCTTAATAAGAGGTTGACTTTAGGGTAGAGAATGGATCAGAAGGCAGGAGAGGTTATCTCTGCATTGGGATTCAAGGTGGGGGGGGGAAGAGCATCATTCCCTCCAACTTTCCTCGTAATCTAGAAGCTGGGGAGTTAATTTTTTTTTTATTATTCCTAACCTCTGTTCTTCTACTTCAGCAGTAGGGGTAGGGGTAAAGAGGTGGAGGACAGGAAGATAAAGTGGGTTGGTGGGGGTGGGAACCCACGGGACCATCTGGAGAGGAAATGGGAAAGTTCTCGGAATGTGAGAGTCCTCGTCATTAGGGATTATGCAATGAGGAGGCCACTTCAGGGACTGTGGGGGTGTGATTGGAGGGCTGGGGTAGACCTTTGGAGTCCAGGCTTTGGGGAGGAGAGGGGTAAAGGCGGTGGGAGCAGATGAAGGCTAAGATGCCTAGTCCATATCCTCTCCTCAGGGTCCTCTTCTTGGCTGCGGTTCAGAGCTGGTAGCCCCTTGTTAACCCTTGCATTGTTATTCATGGGCAGCTTCCCTGGAGCTCCCAGCTGACATAAAGAGCCCAGGAGCCAGGGACATCAACCTGAAGTCTCTAGGTGGAGGGAAGGGGAGAGGTACTAAATAGGATATGCACTAGGCGAAGAGGGGCTTAGTTTGAGGAATACCACTCTTGGGCTCAGTGGCTCCTTTTCCCACCCACGATCCTTTGTGGGACTCAGTTTATTCATCTGCAGGAGATTGGTGCTCTGGCTATCCTACCTGCCTCTGGTTGGCAAGGGATAGGGGACGGCCTCTTTTGCTTGTGGGGAGTTCCAAAAACATACTTGGCCAAGGTCACTTTTCCCCCTCTGTACGCACTACCTTTTGACTCCAACACTCTCTCATCTGTCAGTCAATAAACATTTTGTGCTAAGTATTGGGTTTAAAAAGAAAGGCAAAGCTCATATTCTAATGGACTCCAGGTCACTCTTCTGCTTTTCAGCCTTGCTTCTTAAAGGGTAATAACATCAGGGAACTGGAGTGAGGGGCCACAGGGACTTTGCAGTTCCCAGCTCACAGCCCACCGGAAAGCTGAGCCAACCAGAGGTAAAAGAGGAAACTCCTGCCATCCCCTCCCTGAGTCACTGCATTAGGGCTTCCTGACCCTCTCACTGACATCCACCAGAGTCCCAGACTCCAAATCTTCTCTAGAAAAGCTTGTGTCTATTCTTAGTTCTTGCTCTTTTCTTGGAGAGTTTACCTCCTCAGAGCCTTAGGGGTCCCCACGGCAGATTTATGCCCGGGGGTGGCTTTAAATCCTTACCCCGCCCTAGCTCTGCACAAAAATGCCAGTGCTGGGGAAGCCCCTAATTGGAGCCTAGCCCTTAGTGCCCCAAGGACGAAGAAACCCAGGCATCCCAGAGCCCAGACGTTAGAGGTGGGGAAAGGACTGATGCTTTTCCAGTAGGGGAGAGGGGAAGAGGAAACAAGCATTTTTTCTTCCCCTCCTCTATTTGGCTTTGAAGATGTTAGCCCAAGGGAAGCAAGCCTGGAAGGACTGAAAGAGGGAATGGGAATCTGATCCTGGGCCCCTTGGTAGTAAAGAACAAACCCAAAACCTAAAAATGTTTTTAGGAAGAATTTTATTAAATAGGTTTGGCAGAGAGTTTTTTGTTTATTTGTTCAATTTGTTTCGGTCACAGCGACTCTTTACGACTCTATTTGGAATTTTCTTTGGCAGAGACGCCGGAGTGGTTTGCCTTCTTCTTCTCCAGCTCATTTTACAGATGAGGAAACTGAGGCAAACAGGGTTGAGTGATTTGCCCAGGGTCACACAGAGCCAGAGAAAGGTGTGGCTGACTCCCTCACCCCCAATCTCTATAAGGCTCACATTATATATAATTCAAACAAGGGTACAATTGAGAGACCTGCACATAGGCAGTCTCCCAAAAAGTCAGTTTCCTTACATCTGTACATCAGCAGATAAATATAAACACATAATGAAATCTGAGTAGATGCCAAAACACAAGCTTTGAGTGGAGTCCCAACTATTCCTTGCAGTAATCTCTGGCTCCCCTGGAGGATCTCTGGAGTCAGCATGACCTATACACATTCTGAGTTAAACTATATCTAGCCCACAAGGCTAGATTCAAACAATTTTAATAAATAATAAAGTATAAAGTATTTTCCTTATACCTTCTGGCCTTAGACCCCGGACGCCCCAAGCGACTGCCAAACTATATTGGATAAATTTAGGATTGCAGGGGCAGCTAGGTGGTGCAGTGGACAGAGCACCAGCCCTGGATTCAGGAGGACCTGAGTTCATATTAAGGCCTCAGACACATAACACTTACTAGCTGTGTGACCCTGGGCAAGTCACTTAACCCCATTGCCCAGCCAAAAAAAAAAAAGATTTAGAATTGCAGAATTTGGAAGCTTACTCCAAGAAATAATCTACTGCAAAATGAGGCTCAGAGAGGTCATAGAGGATTACCGACAAGGAAGAGAATTCAAGAGACCATAGAGTTCAACCTTCTTACTCTTCACAGAAAAAGAAACTGAGTCCCAAGGAGATTAAGTGACTTGATCTAGGTCACACAGGTGACATATTAGTAATAAGATTTAGGTTTTAGAAGATAGGATTTGAACCCAGGTTTTCTGGCTCCAAAGCCAGTGCTTTTCCCACTGTACTAAGCAAAACTTACCCAAATTCATAGAGCTAATAAGCAACTGAGTCAGGCTATGGACCTCAGGTTTAGGCTCAGTTTCCTTATTTGTAAAATGAGAGACTGAAAGCACAGTGTTTTGTACAAAACAGAGGCCAGCTAATCAATATTTGTTGAATTGGATTTGATTAGGTGGTCTGTGAAGTGCCTTCAAGGGCAGGGACGTAGGTGGGGCAGTGCACAGAGTGCTGGGCCTGGAGTCATGGAGACTCATCTTCCTAAGTTCAGATCTGGCCTCAAACACTTACTAGCTGGGTGACCCTGGGCAAGTCGCTCAACCCTGTTTGCCTCAGTTTCCTCATCTGTCAAATGAGCTGGAGAAGGAAATGGCAAAGCACTCATAGTATCTTTGCCCAAAAAATCCCCAGTGGGATCACGAAGAGTCAACACGCCGAAAAACAAAAGATGCCTTCAAGCTCTAATGACTCCTTTAGGTAGAAAGAAGGGTAGAGATGGAGGAGAGGAGCACAGGGCCAGGGATAGGGCAGGCTGGACCAACTAAGCAGGCACAGCCCTGGATCTGGAGCCCGAAAACCTGGCTTCTGATCTCCGACCTTCTCTTAACTTCCCGTTTGACCTGGAGTCACTTAACTGCTCCTTGGGTCTCAGTTTCCCTATCTGTAAAATGGGAAGATCGACCTCTGGTAACCCTTCTTGCTCCAGCGGAACCTCAGCTTCCCCATGTTAAAGGGACGGGGTTGCACCAGGTGACCAACTCTGACACCATGACGTCAGACGCAGGGAAGCCCCCACACTCCCCCTTTCCCTTAACAAAGATGGCCGACACGGGGTCGCTCTAGGCCTCGCTACCGTTCTCTCGGTGGTGCGGGCGGGAACTGCGCTAGGACGAGCGGCCGCCTGCGCCAGCGCCAGCGCCGAGTGAGCAGGTGACCCTCCCTCCTCTTTCCCCCCCTTCCCGTCCCCTTCCCTTTCCCCCCTCCTCTTCCCTTCACTCTCTCCCCTTCCCTTTCCTCCCCTCCCCGACCCGTTCCCGCCCCCGCCCCCCGCAAGGCCAAGCCCGGCCCCGCGGGAAGTGGCGAGAGCCCAGCCCTGACCCCGCAGCCCCACCGCCGCGCCTGGGCCCAGGCAGGCCTGAGGCTCGGTGGGCGCTGAGCCCAGGACCCCCATCCGGCCTGGAGCTAGCACGGCCCTGCATCGCCCAGGTCTTTCCTCGTCTGCCCCCCGCAAGGCACCGGGCACCCCCCCTGACCCCCAACCCCCAGCTGCGCCGGTCCCCACCTCTCCTAGCCCCCATCCTCCAGCCTCCCTGTCTCCATTCTCCATTCTCGTCCCTTAATCTCCTTTAGCTTCAGTTACTTCATCTGTAAAATGGGGGTAGATAAAAGCAACAACCTCACAAGGTTGTTGTGAGTCAAATGAGATAACACATAGAAAGCAGTTTGCAAACCTTAAATTGCTATTATTATTATTATCCCGGTCTCCATCACTTAATCTATCAGCCTCAGTTTCCTTATCTGCAAAATAGGGATGATAATAGCACCTACCTCATAAGGTTGTTGTATCAAATGAGATCACTTGTATAAAACAGTCTGCAAACCTTAAAAATGCTATATGAATTCTAGCAATTACATATTATATAAATAGTATCATTCTTGTTTCCATGGTCATCCTCACCCCGTCCCCATTTATCTCCATTGTCTTCCCCGTCTCCATTCCCATCAGCTTGTTGTATCAAATGAGACAACTTGTACAGAGCGATTTGCAAACTTTAAAGTGTTATGTGAATTCTAGCTTATTATATTATATATTCTATGACTATCATTATCTTTATCATTATCCCCATCTCCATCTTCATCCCTATTCCCACTTACCTCCATCCTCATCCCTTTCTCCATTGTCCATCCATCCTTATCCCCATCTCTGTTCCCTTCCCAATCTTCATCTGCATCCCCATCTCCATCTCTCCCCATTAGTCTCCATCCTCATTCCCACCTCTGTGTCCTATCTATCCCTGTCCTATCCATCATCACTGGTCCCCATCCATTCTCATCCAGCCAGCAGACTTGGTGTGCCGGTTTGCTGTGTGGGAAGGCCTGGGGCTTGGCTCTGGGGAATTATCTGGCTGAGGAGATGAGCATCAGCTCCCAGGGTGAATCAGGAAGATCACACAGTGTGTGATCTAGAGCTGGAGTGTGGGGCCCAAAGTCTGCCCTGGGGCATGATGATTATGGACAGGGGAGTCAATAGTGTGGGTTGTCATTATCAGGACAGACTTTCTGGGAGGGTCTGGCTGAGCTGGAGCCTGGATGAGAAAAGGAGAAAGGGGAGAAATTTTGACAGATTTTTGAAGATGTTACCTATTTTATAATAAATTTACATTAAGCAAACTTTTTTCTTTTCTTCTTTTTCCCAGGACGGACTCTTTTTTAGGCCCTCTGCTGGGTAATTTGGGGAAAATCTCCGAGCTGACAAGTTATAAGACAATATTTGACTTCTTATGTGTTTTATATACATTTGATCCTCACAACTCTATGAAGTAAGTATTACAGCTATTATTAGTTCCTTTTTACAGATGATGAAACTGAGGCTTAGAAAGATTTACTTGACTTATTTATAGGCTTACAGCTAATAAATATGGAAGTCAAAGTTTGAGCCTAAGTCTCTCCCTATTTCAAGTCATTCTCTCTTTCCACTACACTGTACTAACATAGTTTCTATAGAGCAGTCTATGGTATACTGGAGTGGTTTCTAACCTTTTGAGGCTACAAGGAGCCATTTTTAATGTGAAAACATTTTGAGGACCCCCACACACATATAAAAATAGTTATATCTATTTCTTGGGAAAGTACATGAAGACGGATGAGAAAATACTACAAATTCAGTAAGAACTTTTTTAGATTAACACTGTATTTTATTATTCCTAACTGCATTGATGTATACTTGAAAAACATATTATTATATATTCAGTATGTAGAATTTTTTGCTTATTTATGTATTCACAGACCACTTGTAATAAATTCCCACAACTTCCAAAGTTCCTTGGCCTATGGGTTGAGAACCAGTGGGTTCTCAATGGGTCTTCCTTCCTTCCTTTCTCTTTCTTTCTTTTTCTTCCTCCTTTCCTCTCTCTGTCTCTGGCCTTTTATCTTCAGCAAGGAGGGTCCTGTCTTCCTATCCTAAACCTATTTTAGAGTTGAAGAAAAGCAGAAAAATGAATAAAAAGAGAGGAGAAGAAAGCCACTTTCTATTCCAATCTCATTTTACAAATGAGGAAACTGAGGCCCAAGGGAAATACATTTCCTTTTATTTTTTTAAAGAAGCAACTTTTCAAAGATCACAATAAATTAGATGCAGTTCTAGAACCCAGGTCTCCTGATCCCTGCCTGCTGCTCTTTCCATTGATAACATGCTATTTTTCAGGGCTTCAGAGGCAGGGAAGAGAAAAACCATTTCCCTCCCCCAAAATGACATCATTTATGCCTATTTATGGTTTTATAGCATAGACAAGAGTTTTTTCCCTAGCAGAGATTCCTAGGCAAATGACAACAATCAGAATTTGGGAGTGATCCTGCCCTAGGGTCATGTGTCATTTCATTCCTAGAAGCTTCCCAGTAAGCAGGCTAAGGGTAGGAGCTTTGAATGCTAGGAAAGAAGCTCCTTTAGCTTTGATGGAGCTGTGTTAAGAGAATCTTCAGACTCTACCTCCAACCAAAAGCCTGGAATCCAGAAGCAGGTGGACCTCTCACTGTTCAGGGGCCTGAGCTCGGTTCCAGGGTGGCACCATAGCCAGCCTTTCTTGCACTGAGCCATTTTCCTGAACTGTAAAACAAGGGGGTGGGACTGAGTGACCTCCATTGTTCTAGTTCTAACATTTATGAGAATCTGTTGTTCTCAGAGCTCCTCTCCTTAACTTCAGGCTCACCCTGATGCCTCATCATTGCATGGCAGTGACCCCAGGTCCTTCAGAGAACACAGAGCCCAAGTTTGGGCAAGTCCTGCCAAGTTAGAAATGCTTTGAGTTTACTTGGGTTGTCTGATAACCGGCTGGAATTCAGAGCCATCATCTGTTGGCCTGGTGATGGGGTTGATGAATTTTTTGACTAGAGCAACTCTTGAAGAAAACCCATTGTCATTCAGCCTGTAGTGGTGGAGGGGGTATATGCTCTGACAAGGCTGCTGATTCTTGGATATGACCTTATGACCACAAGGGGCTTTAGTGCTCATCTGGCCCAACCTTCTCATTTTACAGTTGAGGAAACTGAGGCCCAGGAAGTGATGTGTCCAAGGTCACAGAAGGAATGTCACAGGCAGGATTTGAACCCAGATCCTGATTCCATAGCTAGCATTCTTTCTGCTGTATCACATTGCCTCATGTTTTCATTGCTCTGCAATGTATGTGCAGATTGATTATGTCTCCCCAACCAGACTGTGAGATCTAGAACTGTGATTTTTTTTTCTGTCTCAGAAAACTATAGCTGATCACCTAAAGAGGTGCCTTAGTGAAGGCTTTGTCATTGATAAAACTGTTGTTAATTACCTGCCTCAGAGACCAGGGTAGTAGTGATCGAGTGACCCTAACACTTGACTGTTGGCCACTCACCACAGATTTGTTGAGAATGGACGCCCTGATAATCTTCTCTTAGCTTCTCCTTAGACTAGGACTAGGTCTAGGCAAAGGGTGTTAGGCTTAATCCCAGGCCTCAGTTGAGGGATCCCTCTGGAATAAAGAGAATCCAAAGTCAGAGGCCTGGACTGGTGGGATGGGAGAGGGGTACTATGATGGTGAAGGAGAGAATTTATGAAATAACTTTTCCAACACATCCTATCCTCTCCCTTCCAGAAAAGCCCCTTTGTCTGGATGGACAGGTGGGTGGCTCTGGGATTCTGTTGTGGGTGGGTCTGTGACTCTGAGCCTTTCCCCCACTGAAGGCCAGACAATGGGGACACTTGTGACCAGGCTCTCAGCCAGAGGGGTTTTGAAGGGCTGGGATTCCACCAGCTCAGAAGCATCTGACCCCAGGGGCCTCTAGGATTCTAGCCAGGGGGGGTCCCTCTTGAAGGCTGGTCTGGGGGAGGGGCCCACTGCCCCTCAGACCTCTTTTCCCCCAGAGACTGGGCCTCCTCCATTATTCATCCCTGAGGAAAAGGAGAAAGGTGGGAGAACTTTAGGGATCCTGTACAGAGCTAGGGACCCAGTCTCCAAGGGAGCAGGGACTGGAGGTCTGAGACCCTGGGTAGAGCAAGACTTGGCAAAGTCATCTCGCTGACAGATAGTTTAAAGATAAAGGCTTGGGAAAAGGCTGGCAGTGTCCCCCAATCCCAGTGAGGTTAGTGAGCAGAAGCAAGAATGGAGACCAATGAGGGCTTCCTATCTTCTCTGCCCCTTTAGGAAAGGAAAGAGCAATGGAACTTGAGAGCATCATTCGAGATACCTTAATCAGCTTTGCCCAAACCCATGTCCCAGGCGCTGATCTCAGGTATGTGCTGGCTCCTTGACCACCTCTGGCGGGAGGGTGGCTTCTCCTGTGGTTAGTGCTGCTTCTGCAAGCTCGGCAGTGGCCTCTCTCTCCCTGAAAAGGCATTTGGGGATTGGAGAAAGGGCAAGCTTGACTTGCCCTCTGTAGGGTACCTCCCCAGGTCCTCCTAAGGAGATCTCCTCTGAGGGGAAGGATCACTTTGCTGTGGAATTTTCTACCTGAATGCTTGCCTTCCAGTTCACTGTAAAGATGAATAGACTGAGGCTCCATGTGGATAATCTGCCTAAAATGTCATGAGATGTGTAAGGCAGAATGGGGACTAGAAACTTGGAGTGGAAGGAGAACCCTGTGCTGCTCTGCTCTCCACACTTACTATCTTGGGGTAAATGAGATTCAGCCTCAATCTAACTGCTCCTTCCCTTTTTTAAAAAGAGAATAAGTCTCAGGAGTTAGGGACCAAAGCTGGGGGCAAGTGTGTGGAGCTGTTCTTCCACAAAATGCTCCACCTCTCCCTATCTGTCCCTTCCAGTGGCTTGGATGAAGTTGTCTTCTCCTACATAACTGGGGTCCTGGAGGACCTGGGTTCTCCAGGGGCATCGGATGAGAACTTTGACATGGAAGCATTTGCAGAGATGATGGATGCTTATGTGCCTGGCTTTGCCAAGATCCCCAGGTGTGACTGGGGGTTCTTATATCCTCTCTTCCCAGTCCTTGACCCAGCCCTTTCCGTTCCAATTCCAGATGTCCCCTGGGCATGCTGGGGCTATCATGCCCACTTATCTTGGGATGGGAGTGGGTAGGATTGGGGGAACCAGGCTGGGAAGACAAAAGAGGGAAGTCAGATGACAACTCCAGGGTTCACTGGAGTGGGGTCTGAGTGGAGGACAGAGTGGCTCCCTCACCCCCGTTCCTGATTCCCTCTCAGTGGGACAGTTTGCGACATGATGTTCGACCTCTCAGGCCAGCTGAGTGATGCACGGAACAAGGGTGAGTTCTGGATTGGGACAGAATCAAGGGAATGGGTTTTAGAGCTCTTATCTGGGACTTGGGCCCCCCTCCAGTCCTGTGACTGATTGAAAATCATGTATTCTGTGCCTTTAAGAGAATGTGTGTCCCAAGAACCAGGAAGACAATGCTCCTACATCTCCAGAACATCTCCAGAGTCTGGAGGAAGGTACCCAAGAGATAAGGAAGTCTCGAGCACACACCTCTACCCCACTCCTAGGGGAAGACACAAAGGCTGAGGTATGGGATGGGTGGGAGTGGGGAGAGGGCTGTGGAAATTAGACCTGAATGGTGGGGAAAGGAGAGGGCTTTTGAGAGGGCAGTCAAGGGCAGCCTAAAGAGGGATGTGGATGCAGGAAAGACCTAGATTCAAATCCCACCTGTGACACATACTGATTGTGAGACCTTGGGCAAGGGACTTAACCTTCCTGAGCCTTAGATTCCTCTTCTGTACAACAGATATAATACTTGTAACTCCTTCCACATATTTGAGTTATTGCTCTTATGAGTAGACAGCAACCTATCATATTGGTACTGAGGACCTACTGTGTGTGGTGTTCTCTGCATATTAATGGGGGGGTGTGGGTGGAACAAGTGCCCCCAGTCTTCTGCCTTTTGGAGTCATGTGCTTGTATGTGTATGTGGTATTGAGGAGAGATTATGTGACCAGCTTCTGGGCCTCATCATCTGGTCCTGACTTGCAGGAGGTCTCTGAAACTGATGAGCTCCAGGCTGGGATACAAGTGCTTCTGGAAATGTTCCCTTCTTGCACAGTGGGGAGGGCACAGCGGGCACTGTCCATGGCTCGGGGAGACCTGGAAGAGGCTGTTCACATCATGGTAGAGGAGAAAGTGGAGCCCCAAGCCTTAGGCAGCAGCTCAAAGGTATATGCCACAGACATTCCCCACTCCTGGTTCCCTGGACCACTGATCAGGGCTTCCTTCCTCATGGCCAGAGATGGAAGGGGTACAAGGATGTAGGGTGGAAGGGGAGAGATGGGTATAGACCCAACCCAGGGCTGAGTGTGGGGAACTCCAAAGGGAACCTTTAGGTAAATGGAGAAATGGGCCCAGATCTGCTATCTCATTGTGCCTTTCCTTCTAGGATACATCAAGGTTACAGGGAGCTCCCAGGAAGGAAGAACTGAAATCCTTCATTCTACAAAAGTGAGTTTGGAGGAGAAGGGAGATGGTTTGATTGAGTAAGGTAGCCCTACTGGCTTATCTAAGCAGTCAGTGAGAACCTCATCCCCAGAAGGTCTGTATTGGGGCTCCTGGTTTATCCCAAGTACCTCTGACCTTTCCCCTAGTCTATGGGGAGGATGTCTGAAGAGACATACTAACCAGGGCTCCATCATGGCAGGTACATGATGGTGGACAGTGAAGAAGATCAGAAAACTCATAGGCCTGTGGCTCCAAAGGAGGTGAGTAGGTTGAGGGTGACGGATAACGAGGACTCCCTTTTCTGGGTCAAAGCCTCTTGTTTACCCCGACTTGTATTCTTAACAGGCCCCTAAGAAGCTGATCCGATACATTGACAACCAAGTGGTGAGTACCAAGGGTGAGCGTTACAAGGACATTCGGAAACCAGAACCTGAAGGGATGAAGTCCACTTACATCAGTCTCAAACCAGCCCGGAAGTACAAGTTCCACTGAGTGTCCCCACCCTGGGGGAAGTTGAGGACTGTGGGCCAGAGGAGTCTGAAGGAGTTGGGGATAATGGCCCCAAAGCCAAAATAAGACAGCTGGGCTACTCCTGCCACCAGGGTCTTCTTGGCTAGGCATTTATGAAGCCTGTTTTTCCCAAGCCAAGCTTAGCTTCAAAGTCTCTCCCGAAGCTTCTTTATTTGAGTAAAGTGGCAGGAGTGAGGCATGAGAACTGGTTATTTGTCTCCAAGGAGGTGGGCATGGAATATAGTAGCTTATGAAAGAAGTGGATTTATCTTTCCTTAGCCCAGATCAGGTGTGATTGCTACTACTCTCATGGACCTCTTATTCCTTATCAGTTGAGAAGACCCTTATCTGATTTCCCTCACCCTTCCCAACCCTCCAGGTGTGGGGAGCACATAATGGGACTGTCCTGTTCCTCCATGTCCTCTCTACCCAACAGCAGCAGAATTGCGCCAGGTTCAAGGAGAGTCTTTTATTTCTTTCCCCAGAGAGAGCTGCTTACCCTCCCCCCAGTCTCAGTCCAGCATACACTCTCTCTCTCTCTCTCTCTCTCTCTCTCTCTCTCTCTCTCTCTCTCTCTTCTCTCTCTCTCTCTCTCTCTCTCTCTCCTCTCCCTCTCTCCCCCTTCCTCCCCAAGCTGGTGACACTATCCAGGCTCCATCCCAGTTGGGGGTAAGGAGACAAAGGTGGAGCTCCCCAGCACAGTGGTGTTCCCAGATTCACAGTCCAGCTGTGTTCACCAGTCCCCCAATCCTCCACCCTTCACTGATTGGTCAGATTTGCAGGTTGACAAAGGGAGCAAAGCCCACAACATCCTGTAACAGGACAAGGGCCCGCTGCAGGGGTGGTTCCACGTCAATGTCCACACCACGTTTCCTCAGGGCACTCAGGCTGGACTCAGCCACATCATGACAGTGACGTACCCGAAGTGAGCGCAGCCGTGGGCAATACTCTGCCAGGGTCCTGGGGGGGGAGGGGCAGGTAAAAGAGCGTCTGTGAGGGACAGAAGCTGTGCCCTCTCCCAACAGGCAGGAGGGGGCCTTAGTGGTCCTCAAGCCCAGCCACCTTGTTTAACAGAGACCCAGAGAGGGACAGTGATTTCCCTAAGGTTACAGAGGTCAGTAGCCAGAGTAAGACTAGGGAGCCCCCAAAAGACAGTGGGAACTGTTGCTGAACTGGAACACCAGGACTTTGGTTCTACTTCTGGCACCTAAAACTCACTGTGTGACCATGGTCAAACCATATACCTCTGAACATTAATTTACTCCTCTGTACATATAGAGAACTGACTCGGAATCATAGAATCTCAGATCTAGAGGTGCTCACAGATTGTATGACACTATCACCTTGCCGGGAGGAATCCCCTCTAGAATGCCCCCAGAGAGTCACCCAGCCTCAACTACAACATCCACTGACAAGATCACTCCCAGGAGGTGGCCTGTATCATTTGTGGACAGCTCTAATTGTTAGGAAGGCCTTCCTTTCATGAAGCTCCCTCTCGTGCCCACCTGAAGCCCCAGCCCCTGGGCCCAGCACCTGATGGCGTCACTCCGCACTCGGAGACAGCCAGTGAGGTCCAGATGTTCGAGCTGCGGGCAGCATCGGGCTAGCTCTTGCACAGTGGCATCCCCCACATTCGCATTGACAGCCAGGGAGAGGGATCGCAGCTGTGCCCCTCGGCG